CTATCGAGGCCTCGAAATCAGAATATTCTAGAAACAGCATCACAACACGTTGACATTTATCTCGAGATCGGGCAACACAGCTTATGCGATTTCAATCTTGATCACTTACGAAAAAGAAAAAAACCTTTTTACTTTTTGAAAGACAGAGCCATAAGTTATTGATGGGGAAAAATTTCACAAAACTTGTTATTGAAACTGCGAAATGTAATGATGTAACAGAGTCTGTAATTTTGTGATAAAATCAGAATATTTTGAACTATGCACCAAATAAAAGAAATTTGGAGTGTTTTTTTCTTCTACGTTGCAAACGTCTTGTTATATCGAGCAATACGATAATAAAGTACATTTTCACTTTTGGAGCACCGCTACTGTAAGTGATTTTAGACAAACTATTTAAAATCTAGTTAGTCACTCAACCTCCGTGCTACGCTCGAGTGCTGTCGAAAGAAGTTACAGTTGTGGCAATTTTACACATCTTTCCAGACAAAGTTATAAAAAGATAAACAATTTACATAAACAGCTGATTTTCGATGAAAAAGTCTAGAGCAAACATATTTTAGCAATATGGATGGTACAGCATTGTACGAGGCAGTTGCTGCAATATACATCTCCCAGTGTGTTGGGATGGACCTTTCTCTGGGTCAGATTATTCTCGTCAGGTTGGACCAATGTGAACTTAGATGCAACTTAGTGCATCCTTACCTCAATCATAATATCTTAATGTGTCTGATTTAGCCTGACTGCGACGCTTGCAAGCATTGGGGCCGCTGGAATTCCTCAAGCAGGTAAACGTGTTTTCATTGTTCATATTTTGCATTCTGTATCTTATTTTTCTAGGAATTGTTACGATGATTATGGTTCTGATCGCGATAGGCCTTCCTTCGAACCTTTTCATCCTGATTTTCCCAGTGGATTTCTTTTTGGATAGAATTCGCACAACCGTGAACGTTCATGGGGACAGTATCGGAGCTGCCGTTGTGGGGAAGCTTTGTGAAAAGTATCTGAAGCAAGGTAAAGGAGTCGTTCGTCTACTTTTACAGCATATTTTTGTAAGACTGCTAAGTCACCGGTGGGCCCTGGTTTATCCATCCGCAACATGCGACCCACCCGGAGGCTTGTACTGGATTACCAAAGTTTATCTTCTCTTTTCCTCTCTATTTCCTTCACATTATGCAGTTTTTTGGTTATCAATCAAGATAGTGATTAAAAGTGCTAAGATGAGCAATCTTGTCAAAGCAATGGAGAAAAGTCTTAAAAAGAAGAGAACTTGACAGTTATGATGCATTATGTTAAACGCCAAAGGCACTTGCTTTTCAGGCGATGAAAGGGGAGATGTCGATCGTAGAGTTAACATTTTTTTGCTAAATTTTCTGCTTTTCAATTCTTCTCGGTCGCAGTCCGTGCTGCATTACACACAGATGAAGATAAATGCTAAACATTGTATTTTGATTTATTCCAGAAGTTGCGCAAACCCTTTTCATGCAAATACTTTTAGGAAGCATTTGATTTTGCGAGCTTGTGGGGCTTGAACGTTGTTG